TGTATGTATAATATTTGATGAACTGGTTTATGTGAATTCACCCAAACGCAACACAATTAAACGTCAATATTAACTAGGGAAGGGTATGGCTTATTCTACTCATAGGTTCATTAAACTTAAGTTATTTCTTTACAAACGTCAATATGGTTTACTGAGCCTATTCACACAATATTTGGAAACACCCTGGGTCAGATGATCTGCGGTCGTTAGAAAATCAACAAGAATGTCTCATAAAGGATGCATAGTGTATCTCATTATATATCCGGAGTTTAGAAGTTGGACTTTCGTTTGCTATACATTCCTTTAGTATATTTAAAAAGACACACAATTGGCACCAATATCATTAAGACTATTGCCGGCTTACAGGTGTGTTATCACTAATGATGTGGAAGATACTGGTTGTGTCAGTTCTAGCTATGTTGAGACAAGGTAAGTTCAAGATTGAGGTATAAAACATTTGCGACTATTAAAAATGCGAGTGTTTGTCATTAGTGTCTGATGGTATTAGTGAAGTTCAGTTTCTTTCCGGTAATTTACAATTTAAGCAAGTATTTACAAATAAATTATAAAGGTATTTCTAGAATTTAATGATAATGAATTAAATTATGAAATATTATATATATATAATGCCTTAACGAATATTACTGTTATAGGACGCTACTCCCAAAGCAGTGGCGGAATTTACAGACGGAGGGCTCAGACTCCCTCGCCCCAACAAATTGTAGAAAATTTGTCATTGGCACTTCTCTATGGTGGAAAATGGCATTCTAGAAGTGAATTTTTTTTTATCCCCATTTTTATTTGGAACTACCAGGGTAGTGAAACCTGTCAAAATACCGTATTATCTTATAAATATCTAAAACTTTGATTATGATACTTTTCAGATCCAGAAGCAATAACGGTAAATTGCCCAACCAATGTTACATCGAACAACTACGTTGGCTCAACAAACGGCATTATTCAAGTTAGAACCGACCACGAAGCCAGTGTGGCAACTGTCACCTGGGACCTACCCATTGTAACTAACAACGTGACGTCATCGCCGTATAATTCAGGAGACGAAATACCAATTTCGGCAATTCATGTAATCACATTTACAGCCACAGAGTCTTCAGGAAACACAGATACTTGTGATTTTGCGATATCTGTTATCGGTAATTTTCTTATTCTTTTTTTTTTTTTTTTGATACCGGTATGTTGTATTTTCACACAAAAAGCATATTTGACGAAAAACTCGTGAGCAGTTAATGATACACATTTTTAAATAGGCCTACATAAAAATTAGGGGGGGACCTTTTATTCCAGCTCCTCCAGCTCCCCCCCCCCCCCCCCAGTTTTTAAATATTCAAAGCGCTCACGAGTTTTCGTCGAATAGGCCTCTTTCCTCCGGAGCTTGGCTTTAA